TTCTTGAGAGAACAGCTCTGAGAGAACTTGTGACTGACCCAAGGTCACCCAGTTGGCTGCATGTGGAGGAGAGGGGAATCAAACCTGGTTCTCCAGATTAGAGTCCGCAGCTCTTAACCACTACACCAAAATGTTGTACAGTGATTAAACAGATGTGCTCAGTTGGTGCTCAATGAGCTGCGCAAGGCAATCACGGAGAAGGACAAAGATACCAGCATTGTTAGCAGGACCAACTGTAGCCCTTTTAGGTGGCTTGAAACATGGATAGTATGCACAAACATCTGGGAAGGCTTCCCCTAAGGAAGTGTATGCTGAAGAACTGACCCCTCCTCTGGATTTTAGACCACTGGAGTCTGAATTGCAGACCACAGAGTTGAAGACCACATGGGGATTGATCTACATTGATCTACAGGAGCATCTACATTTCTGGCCAACTCACTGGTCCTCCACACTGAAATGACCATTGTTATGGAAAATGAAATGGACTTGTCTGCTAGGCACGACGGACCCTTGTGCCAAAAAGGGCAGGGTAGTTCTAAAGTCTGACCTGCACAGACAACGTTGCTAAAGTTCTTGTGAGATACTACAGAACAGCCACAATCAATGTCCTTAAAACGCACGGCTTGTCTACAATTTAATTTTGAGTAGCAGAGAAAGGGATTCTTGGTAACGTGTCAGCCCGTGAATGATATCAGGGCTGAACGTCTGTTTCCCTCCCCATTGCAGGTGTTTAAGGCAAGGGGTAGCTGGAGGCATGACGCTAAGGACAGGGGCCCAAGAGCTCTTGTCCCTTGGCTCTTAGCCTGTGACTCTCAGAAACCTGGGCCAGTTCATACAGGACCAGCCCAGGATGTTGGCGCCATCATGCATACTTGTGTGCTTCTTTGTAAGCCGCTGAGATCCCAGTGGGGAAAGAGAAGTGGGGAAGAAATGCTTAAATAAATATTTAAAGTATATCCACTCTGTCTAGGTGAGATGCACCACTCCACAGTCATATCCCCCAATGCCAGGGTTGCCAGCTCCAGATTGGGAAATACCTGGAGGTTTTGGGGGGAAAGCCTGGGGTGGACGGAATTGAGGGAGGGGAGGGACCTCAGTAGGGGACAATTCTATAGGGTCCACCTTCCAAAGCAGCCATTTTCTCCAGGGGAATGCATCTCTGTAGTCTGGAGATCACTTGTAATGCCAAGAGGTAGAATCATAGAGTTGGAAGGGATCTCCAGGGTCATCTAGTCCAACCCCCTGCACAATGCAGGAAATTCACAAATACTTTCCCACACACACACTCAGTGACTCCTGCTCCATGCCCAGAAGACAGCCAAAAACCCCTCCAGGATCACTGGCCAAACAGGCTTGGAGAAAAACTGCTGCCTGAACCCAAAGATCTCCAGGCCCCACCTGGAGGTGGGCAACCCCACCTTTGCCCTCTGCCCTATTGAAATCTCAAATGGTGCCCCTGGTGGTCCCATTTTGGCATGTGTCCCCATGTGGCAGCTCTAAGTGTCCCTTCGGGTCCTTAACCTGAAGTAAAATCTCCTGACAGCCACCAGATGGCACCCAAGAGGTACTGCTGTGCAAGCTGTCGAAAGGTGTCAAATTACTGCGCAAAGCCACATGGACGGAGACAAATGGCTCCTGTCCCGCCATTCTGAATTTCTGGGATATGCTGCTTGGCAGACACCCCAGGCCTCACTGGTGTGAAACGGCTAGTTTTCCAACTGTGGGGGCCCCACGTGTGTGTGTGTGTTTTTTTAAGTCCTACAGCAATAGCACTCTTGTTTAGCAGACCTCCCATCAAGAGAATATTTTGGCTTTTGAGCTAAAGGAAAGTATTGGCATGTCCTTTGCTGAAGAATTACTGGAGGATTTGCACGGTGGCTGGCTCGTCTTGTGTTGGCTCTGTGCATAAATACTCTTTTCAACATCGGTGTCTGCCCAGAGGAGAAAGCGTACCACCATGTGAACAGGCACTCTATTGAGTTCACCGTACCGTTTGCTCGACGGCATCTCCGGATCAAAAGGATCTCCCACAGTAGAACCGGGGAATTCTCTTTCTGAGGCTCTGGGCAGCCAACGCCAGCCAGTGGAGACAGATACGGCGCTGGAGGGATGATTGGTCTGACGGGAATTAAGCAGCTCCTTGTGCTCACAGTAGCCCATCTATGCACCGTGAAGGCCAAAGGCCAATTCCCATAAGCCAAACTTAATTCCCATAAACCAAACTTCGCACTTCCTGGGGAGAGCCCCATAGCTCAGTGGCAGAGCAAATATGTTGCAAAAAGGCAATTTCAATTGCCACGAACGTTTCAGACAGAAGAGACCTTAGACAACAGGCTGCCAGAAGAGTGATTAACACCTGGAATTCACTGCCACAGGAGGTGGTGGCGGCTACAAGCATGGACAGCTTCAAGAGGGAATTAGATAAGCCTATGGAGCAGAGGTCCATCCGTAGCTATTAGCCACGAGGTATAGATAGGGACTGTCAGTCCGGGACAAGTGATGCGCTGTGTTCTTGGTGCTTGGGGGGGGGGGGGGCAAAGGGGGGGGGGGGGGGGCAACAGTGGGAGGGTGTCATGGCTGCTGCTGAACTTGAACACTTGGCCCCAGCAGACGAGCAAAGGACTGCCAGGGATGAGCATTTGGCCCCAGCAGAGGACCTAAGTACTGCTGGGGATGAACTCAAGGCTTCTGATACTCCCACACCTGAAGACACGGAAACTATTCCAGCAGCAGCTGAAGCGGGCTCATGCCGGAGCAACACGCCCTCTGATTTGCCCCCACCGGTATCCCGTTTGCGGGAACAATGCTGACGGGACATGGCATCCCGGCGACGGGAGGGACGCATGCACGGTAAGCGCTCCTTTAGCCCTGAGTACTAGCAGGAGTCGGGACACTTCAGGGCGCACTAATGACCAACAGCCTGCCCGGCTATTTAGCTATTGCACACACGCCAACTAGTTGTGCTAGCAACTAGTCATTTTGGACGAAGCTCTGCACCTCACCACTCATGTCCCAGTTCCTGCTCCTCATCTTGACTCCTCGGCTCCTGACGTCGGCCTGTATGACTCTGCTCCTGACCTGCCCTTCGGACTTTTGACTCTCTGGCTTCTGACTTCTTTGGACTCTGGCTTTAGTGACTACTCTAACGGTTGGTGATTTGGACTTGGTCTTTCGGTATTACTGCTTGACCGGTTTTGACCTTGGACTGCTTATGGACTCTCTTGCTGTGGCCTGGCCTCGTACCCCGGTCGTGACAGAGGGCTTCTAGTGTCCTGTCCCCACTGGTGGACCTGCTGATGGCACCTGGTATTGGCCTGATCCAACACTGGCTTCTCTTAAGAACATAAGAGTTATGTTCTTAGGGCTACATATGCCGGAGTACAGAAGTTTAGTCTGTGGATAGCTCGTTCCTGCACACAAGTCATTTCTAGATATTGCTGTGACCGTGTGATGAAATATGTGTGCAAATCAGCCTCAAACACCGAGTAATCAAGCAAATAAGAGACTAACAGTGCAATCCTAATTCCGCAGGGCCTGTAAGACAGAGATGTTCCGCCAGCCATTTGGTTGAGGACAGTGACGGTTTACATCATGGCTGGCACCCTACCCTACCCTACCCTACCCTATCTCCTATCCCTTGTGAAGTTATACCCTCCCTGTGCCCACCAGGGGTCATTTCCTGCAGGAGCACACCTCCGGCAGTAAAGAGCCCAGGGGGCGGGCATATGCAACAAGCCCCACCCCCTGCTCCCAGCAGCCCTCAGTCAGAGCAAGAAGCAGCCAGGTAAGTTGCAGAGCTCCCCCCGGCCCCCCGGTCCAAAACAGTCCAGTGGCACCTTTAAGACCAAGTTTTATTCAGCCACAAACTCATTACAGGCGCGAGTTCGACCGCCCCCCCCCCCCCCCGCATAGCTAGCAATCCAAAACAATCCAGTGGAGCCTGAGCGGTGGGTGTTGCCTTCTGACACACGTCCGGTGATGTCAGGGGGTGTGGGATATGCAAATAAGTTATGCTAACGAGTTATGCTAATGAGCTCCTGCACCTCTTTTTCTACGAAATGACCCCTGGTGCCCACTAAGCACTCACGGTCTAGGAATGGGAGGGAACTACAAAACACAAAATTCGCCACTGGTTTTAACTGTGTATAATATGTCGGATATGGTCTTATGGTTTTAATAGTTTTAAATTTTGTCCATGGCCTAGAACCCCACATTGTGGGGATCAGGCGATTCATAAATGTAACGAAATAAATAAAATAAAATAGTTACACCCTTCTAAGCCCACTGGCATCGATGAACAGAGAGAAGTGGTAACTGCTTAGGATGGCGCTTCAAAGTGATGTTCGGGCACGTGACAGCCAGTCACGGGGCCCGCGGAGAGCGGCGTTTGGTATAACCACCAGAGCAAAGACCAGTTTTCATGAAAAAGCCATTTCTAGTTGTAGTGTATTCAAAGCTGCCTTGAATGCATGATATGTTGTGAAACATCTAATTGAAGTGTAATGTAAAGCTTCGTCCTGGGCTAGGATCCAAATCCATCCAATCATGTTACTAGCCCAGGAAGCACCTAACCAATCACTTTCAAGCAAGCTCCCTGAGCGGGAACATCCGTGATTGGTCCTTATGTGAACAACCTTATTGGTTGGTATTTGTACAGTGGGTGTGGCTACATTAGCCGGGAATGTTTAAAAGCAGGACAGCTGCAAGGCTGTCCTGGCTATCAGATGTCGATCCGTGTTGGAGTTGTGTTCGAGCTGAAGAATAAAGTTGTGTTCTTCCTGAATCACTCTCCGACTGCTTTGTTAAGCGAGCGACTTAACACTAGTGATCTCATTTATTTATGTATCACATTTATACCCCCGCCCTCCCAGCTGAGGCTGGCTTACATGAAGATAAAAGCATATAAATAACAGTTAAAGAAATCCTACAACCTTCACGTTAATTGTTGACCTCTCCAGTGACAGAGAGGAGTTGGCTAATTCTGTGTGCCTGATCTTTACCCTTTGGAACCCTGACTCGGTAGTCAAGATCCACGAAGGTTGCTCCCTTCCTGTCAAACTACAGACACGGGAAAAAGAAAGCCCACAACGGCTTATCAGGGGAGAGAAAAACAATGGGCCTGGCTCCACATCATCTCCTCCATTTTCTCCTAGGGTTGGCCTATGAGTTTACCGTCCCATCCCATCACAAAAGCCTACCTCTTTTCTGCCTGGCGTGGGGGCTGGTGTTTCTGTCCCTGTTGTTTAACATCTCTAGGCTTGACAGATCGGATCTGTTTTCACACAAGCTTACCGACTTTCTGCCGTACCTGTAGAGACAAAAAGAAACACAACAAGCATTAGGTAGACACTAATGGACAAGAGATGTTCCTTTATGGCACGGATGGCTCAGCAGATATAATAAATCCTTCCTGTAAGAATTAACTTTTGACTGCCAGCAACAGAAGAATGACTGTTTGCTGGACATATATGAAGGCCCCCTCCAAAGTTTTTAAGAAGAAGAAGAAATTGGATTTATACCCTGCCCTTCACTACCCGAAGGAGTCTCAGAGCGGCTTACAATCTCCTTTCCCTTCCCCTCCCCACAACAGACACCCTGTGAGGTGGGTGGGGCTGAGAGAGCTCCTTCGAGGACTGCTCGTGAGAGGACAGCAGCAGCTGCGTGTGGAGGAGTGGGGACTTCGAGGACTGCTCGTGAGAGTCACACCAGCAGCTGCGTGTGGAGGAGTGGGGACTCAAACCCGGTTCTCCTAGATTAGAGTCTGCACTCCTAACCACTACACCAAACTGGCTTTGCAGCTCCTAGTAGAATGGAATCCAAGGATCCTGTGGGTCAAATCCCCACTTGGCCACCTGTCACCTCTCCCACGGTCCGTGCGCCTGCCTAGTGGGGGGCAGCTGTGAGAGTAAGCAAAATGGACTCCAAAGAGACAATCGATTCACACACACCAGCTCCTAAGAAGAATGGCGGCCTGAAGCAGACACGGGCAACAGTAGGAAGAGGCATTTTGTCCTTCTGCATCACCACCTGCCAGCTATTCCCACAGTGCAAGAGTAAATCCAGTTAAAATAATTAATTCATTAATTCATAGGGTCGCCATCAGTCAGGAACGACTTGACGGTACATAACATACACAGCTGTGGCCAGCCGGTGGTAGATGTAGCTGTGGCCAGCCAACGGACCAGAGAGCAAGAAGAGTCTCTCTCTCTCTCTCCTCTCTCCCTGTCTCTCTCCTCTCTCCCTCTCTCTCCTCACTCTCTCCCTCCCTCTCTCTCTCCTCTCTCCTCCCTCTCCCTCCCTCTCTCTCTCATCTCTCTCCCTCCCTCCCTCTCCCTCTCTCCTCTCTCTCTCTCTCCTCTCTCCCTGTCTCTCTCCTCTCTCCCTCTCTCTCCTCACTCTCTCCCTCCCTCCCTCTCCCTCTCTCCTCTCTCTCTCTCTCCTCTCTCCCCCACAGCATCTGAGAGGTCTTGGATGCGTTGGGAGCAATGCTCCCTCCAAGCTGTGGAGTCCTGTGAGCAAAAATCCTACTTTGCGAGCTACTGGCATTAAAGCCATGAGCGAGCCGTTTGGCTATTGCATAAACTAATTTGCTCTGGAGCCATCCCTTCCTGAGCGAAGACAGAAATGTGTGAGCTGGAGGCTAAAAATCTGTGAGCTGGCTCACACTAACTCAGCTTAGAGGGAATGCTGCTTGGGAGATGTGGTCTTGGGGGCACATGAGGTACTAATACCAGCTGCCCGTGGTACAGGGCGGGAGGAGGATGGAGACAGAAGCCGTTTCCCTGTGATGGTGGTGGTGAGGGTGAGTGGCGGCTTCCGAGCAGCAGGTGGCGCTGTGTAATCATTTACCTAGGGTGCCAAAAATCCTTGGGCTGGCCCTAGGACTGAGGCTTGTGGAGAAACCTCAGGCCTTATGTGCCATGAGGAAGGGAGGAGACAGAACTCTAGGTAGGCTGACCGAGAGGCAGGGTGAGATAGGCAGGGTGAGTTAGGCCCAGCCTGACAACCCGTTGGAGACTCGGGGGGGAGCATGGGAGAGTGGCTGTTGTCCACAGGATGATGCCACTGCCAGGTAAACCTCAAAAGTGATGTCACTGCTCTCTAGGAATCATCGAAAACTCTGATAAAACCGTAGTTTCCAGAGATTCCTAGAGAGGACTGACATCACTTCCGGGTTTCCCCTGAACTGACGTCATGGCATTGGCCAGACAGCCATTGTTGTTGTTTTTTTAAATTATCCCACTGCTACTTGGTGGGAGATCCCCCGCTACTTCTGGGGGTAGTCTGATGAAGGAAAAAAGGAATCTGAACAATACATCTGTGCTGGGAGCTGAAGAACAGGAAAAAGTTTCAATGAGTTCTTTCACTCTGGAGGAACAACACATTTTTGGCTTTTTTGCTACGGGCTATCAATGCACCTGTGTTACACCTGTATAGTTTAAGACACCCACTTTTCCCTTTGTTTTCTCAACAATTAGAGCATCTAGGGTCCCCTCCTTTAAAGAACTACAGTTCCCAGGAATCCCTGGGAAATGACATTACATTTTTGGCCTTTTTGCTATGGGCAAATGATGCATCTGTGTTACAGAAAACTAACAAGCACTGTATAAATAACGCAGACCACGGAGTACACAAAGGTCATGCAAAGGGAAATTATATTATAACAAAAGCAAAACTAACAAAAATAACAAGGGACCACATATATCAGTAAAGCAAGATTACATCATCCAACAAACAATGACTTCACAGACTGCCCAGTTGAAGACACTACTCCATGGACCCCTGTGTGGTATATTCCACAGCCCACATTGTGTGACCTTGGACACCAGCAACTGAGTTACATTAGGTATGTGAGCCTTCTATTGTTAAGCATGCAAAGTTATGATTGATCACAATGTATTAGTGACTGCGGGAGACTCACACTATCATTCCCTATGTTTACCAGTTCTTAGAAATGAATTACTGCCTTACTTTTCCCTAAAAGGGATGTTACGGATATATATTGAGTTACATACCTTACTATAATTTTCCAATAAAAAACCTTTACACAAATTTGACCATTCGCTTTCACATTTGTACCTTACAGTAACACACTGCTACTATTTACTTCACCTCCTTCCAGCCTATGCGTTCGTTACAGACCACATCTTTCTAGATCTCGTTGTATTGGTTTCACAACGGGCTTTACTGCTAGTAGTATACATAAGTTCATAAGTAGTTGACGAAGACTCCGGATTTTGATCTTCGTTTTGAGGGTTCTTCTTCAAAGAGTTAAAACTACTTCATAAAGTACCGATAATGTACAGAAGACATGTATATGTCGGAAAAATCCTTCACACAGCACTCATAAAGCACAGAAGCCTTCAGACTAGTAATACAGGAAAATTCAGTCCTAATACTCATATAAAGCCAGGCATCTGATCAATAGTGGAACATGTTCTCAAATAGTCAGAAAGCCCAGTAATGAAAAGCCCAGTAACACCTTTAAGACTAACAAACTTTATTGTAGCATAAGCTTTTGAGAAACACAGATCTCTTCTGACGAGAAAAAGAGAGTTGTGTTTCTCGAAAGCTTATGCTACAATAAAGTTTGTCTTAAAAGGTGCTACTGGGCTTTTTACTATTTTGCAGCAACAGGCTAACACAGCCAACTCCTCTGGACCTATGTCCAGTGTTCCCTCTAAGCTGAGTTAGTGTGAGCTAGCTCACAGTTTTTTAGCCTCTGGCTCACACATTCTTGTCTTAGCTCAGGAAGGATGGCTCCAGGGCATTTATTTATGCAGCAGCCAAATCGCTCGCTCACCACTTGAATGCCAGCAGCTCACAAAGTAGAATTTTTGCTCACAAGACTCGACAGCTTAGAGGGAGTTTTGCTGCTATGTCCATTTTCAATGTTTTACAAAGTGCGGGGTTTGAATGCCAGCTTTATACTTGAGTTCTTCTTGGCAGGACGGAGGGCACTCCTAACAACTATATCTGCCGCTCCAGAGTTCAGAGCAAAACATTCTTGCCATTCCCAGGCGATGGTCAAACTACTCTGCATATTGATGTTTGCACACCCAGTATTTGCAGAGGCACACCCAGCCAGTTTGCATAATAGCGGCACAACCTCCTACGCTTTCCTGGAACAGCTGTGATCTCTAAAGATAGCCACAACATATCTCAGTGCCCTTCTCTGACAGCCCTTCAGCGTTGAGGAGAGGTGAACCCTGCCCCTCCTTGTCGCTCCGTCACGGCCAGGAATTTTTTTCTCACCGCCTGGTAACTTCCAGGATTGGAACTGGGGTGGAAGCAAAACGCCCTGACCAAGGGAGCAAGTTCCTTTCTCCTCACCTATGCAGGCCTTTCGTTGCAAAGAGTAGAGATTCCTCACCCAGCCCGTTTTGTACACGGACATCAAAACAGCCTTGCTGTACAGCCCTGACTTGGATAGCCCAGGCAAGCCCGATCTCGGAAGCTGAGCAGGGCCGACCCTGGCAAGTACTTGGAAGGGCGACCTCCAAGGAATACCAGGGTTGCGGACGCAGAAGCAGGTAATATCACAGCCACCTTTCTGGAACGTCCTAGCCCCACTAGGGGTCTCCAGAAGTCACCATGACTTCCAGGCTCACAAGCACATACCCACAGACACACGCGTGCACACACACACACACACACACACAAATACCCCCCAAAAAAGAGCCTTGCTGGGCAAACCCAAAGGTCCATCTAATTTAACATCTTGTTCCCCACAAGAGCCAACTGGATGCCACTGGGAAACTTGAAGGAAATCAATACCCTCCTCCAGTGATGCCCCCCAACAACTGATATTCAGAGGTAGACTGCCTCTGAACATGGAGGTTTTCCTTTCTGGGTTTGTTTCCTCACTCCTCCAGATGAAGCCAGCTGGGTGACCTTGGGTCAGTCACAGTTCTCTCAGAGTTGTTCTCTCAAGGGCAGCCCTTGAAAGAGCTCTCTCGGCCCCACCTACCTCACAGGGTTTCTGTTGTGGGGAGAGGAAGGGAAGGAGATTGTAAGGTGCTCTGAGATGCTGGGTGAAGGGCGGGGTATAAATCCAATCTCCTCCTCCTCCTCCTCCTCCTCCTCCTCTTCTTCCTTTAGCCATTCTGTGTAAGAGCCTTTGATAGACCCATCCTCCACGAATGTTGTCTAATTAAAATGTCTAAGCTGGCAGCCGTCAGCACATTCTGTGGCAGGTATTCATAAATGGTGTGACCAAGTTTGGCCGTCGACTTCATTGGGACAACCAGATTTCTGATCTTACGGGAAAAGGAGAAAAACTTCTCTCTGTCCACTTCCTCCAACCCATGCATAATTATATAAAGCTATCATTTCCCTTTTGAGTCACCTTTTCCCCTAAACTAAAAAGCCCCAAGTCCCCCAAAAGCCTTTCCTCGAAGAGAAGATACACCAACACACGACCATTTGGGTCACCCGTTTCTGTACCTTTTCCAGCTGCCTCAGAACACTGGTCCATCAAAATCAGTAGTAGGGATGGGCATGAATCTAAAAAAGGTGGTTCGGTTGGGGGCAGCCCCCAAACCGAACTGAGCCAAATGGGTCCCACCCAGACTCAACCAGTCTGGGAAGTTTGGTTCCCAGTTTCTCCCGGCTGTGGTGGGGCGGGGATCACCTGGGAAAGGACTTCCCTTTCTCCTTTCTCCTGGGACGGCTCGCCCTGAAAGGGTCTCCCTTCCACCTTACTCCCAGCCAAGGCTCGCCCTGGCCGGGAGAAAGGGAGAGGGGAATTGACCGTGAAGGGACTCCCTTCCACCTTTCTCTCAGCTGTGGCTCGCCCTGGCCAGGAAAAAAAGGGGGCGGGGATAACCCAGGAAAGGACTTCCCTTCCCTTCCCGCCACAGCCAGGAGAAAAGAGGTGGAGATCATCCTAGAAGGGAATCCCTTCCACCTTTCTCTTGGCCCCAGCTGTCCCTGGCTGGGAGGAAGGGGGAAAATTGCCCTGGAAGGGACTCCCTTCTACCTTTCTCCTGGCAAAGGATCCCCCTGGCCGGGAAAGGGGGGGGGAAATCGCCCTTCAAAGGAGGGGAAGCAAAAAACCAAGTTGCTTACCTGTAACTGATGATCTTCGAGTGATCATCTGTGCATTCACACCCTGGGATAAAGTGTGGCTGCGCCGACCCCGGTCGGTATTGTAGAAAGCTAAAGGGATTTTCGCGCCCGCTCCCTCCTCACGTGCCAGGCTCAGAGCACATGACTAGGGGAGGGGCACGACCATCCTGCCAGTTCCTTCTGACCGCTGCCCTCAGTCACAGAGCAAAAGGAAAGGACTGAAAGCAGAGGGGAAGGAGGGCGGGTGGTGTGAATGGGGTAATGGATCGGAGTCAAAGGCTCTGTTTGGAGCTTTTCTGGGGCTTTGCCCTAGGTTGTGATGCTGCTGCGAATTTGGTCTTATTCCCATAGGGATGGGAAGAAGTGCCCGGAGACTTCTGCCACTGTGGTTCGGGAGAGGATTTAAACGAAGGATTGCAAGACCAGGATTTATTCCAGGACTTTCCTCTAGATTGCTTGGACATTGCCGTGACTCCCAGATTGCGAGACGTTTTAAGACTTTTGACGAGGTCCTGGAGGACGGAATCAGTCATAGAGCTGAAGAGCCCATCACCCTCAAAGGGAAGATCTTCAATGATTGACTTAGTGCCCTGCTGCAAGGCTGTGGCACATAGCCAGGCATGGCGTCGTAAAGCAACAGCAGAAGTGAGGGTCGTAGATGCCACGTCTAAACTGTGTTTGGCTGCATTAAGCTGATGTTCAGCCACTAGCATACCTTCCTTTTGTATGCGTCTAGCTTGGGGGGCTGTAATACTCAGGGAGGGCCACAAAGAATTCTGACATTTGCTCCTAAAGGACATACTGGTATCTGCCCATACAGGCCATGTAATTAGAGCAGTGGTGGCAAACCTATGGCACGGGTGCCAGAGGTGGCACTCAGAGCCCTCTCTGTGGGCACGCGTGCCATCGCCCCAGCCAGGCCCAGACCATCATTAAAGTGTCGAATTCTCTGCCAAATAATTTTAAGTAAATGAAAGCATTTGGGATTGCTTTCCTTACTTTGTTTGGATCATCTTAAGTTAATGTATGAGTTGTTTTTTCTAAAGTAAAACCTCAGTATTCAGGTTAAATTGCTGTGTTGGCACTTTGCAATAAATACGTGGGTTTTGGGTTGCAGCTTGGGCACTCGGTCTCTAAAAGGTTCGCCATCACTGAATTAGAGGCTTTGGTGCCCAGTGCTCCAGCAGAATAAAATTTCCTGCCAAACGAGTCCAGCTTCCTGCCCTCTTTGTCAGATGGGGTGAAGTGGCTGCGTTTCCCCTTTGAGGAGGAGGTGACAATCACCGAATTAGGCTTACGATGAATGATTAAAAATTCAGCTCCCATTTCCTGTACTTTATACATATGGTCCATCCTCCTGTTGGAGATGGGAACAGAGGCGGGGTGTGCCCAGGGGGCTTTAGCCATTTGTAGAAGGACAGACGCCATGGGAAGGGCGATCACAGTCGATGTATCCATCTGGGCGATGTTGAAGATGGAGTCGGTAACAACGGGTAAAGGCTGGATAGTCGGAGGTGCCGGTGTGTTGGCCATTCGTTTAACAAAGTCCCCATAAGACTTAATGTCTTCCGGCGGAGATATGGGAAGATCGTCCTCCACCTGCTGGGGAGGGGACTGTTCAAATTGAATGGGAGCGTCCTCATCACCGGAATGGGAGTTCTCAGAAGAGCCAGAGCACTCTGAAGGATCAGAGAACGGTGCCAGGCGAATCGGTGTCGATTGTATCGGCTCCGACTGGTCCTTGGACTGCGTTGGTATCGATGGAATAGGTTTGCGCGGCTTGTTCATCGGTACCGAAAGTTGGGGTTTCGTGAACTCTGATGTCGAAGGAACTTCTTGATATTGATACAGCCTGGATGGAGTCGACTGTCGATCCCAATCCATGGGAGGTCACGGGGGAAGCCAGGGCATGCCGCCAGGGAATGGGTATGCCCAATACACAGAGGTCATTTCGGGAGGGAACGCGGGGGAATGCAGTTCCCCCGGGTGAGGTGCAGGGGGGCAGGGCACATGACGAAGCCCCTCCCCCTGCTTCCGGCCGCCCCGCTTCCAGCCCTCATTCAGCCAGGAGGAGGCAGGAGAAGAAGGAGGGTAAGTTGCTTCCTCCCTGCCTCTCCCCACCCCCGCCTGCCTGGGGCCAGGGAGGGCCTTGGCGGGGCTTCCTCGCACTCCTGCTGGCCTTGCAGGTCCACCGCCGGGCCCTTGATGTCAGGGGGTGTGGCATATGCTAATGAGTTATGCTAATGAGTTCCCCTAGCTCTTTTTCTACGAAATGACCCCTGCCCATACAAGTATTGGCACTGGTATCGGTCCCAGGAGGGAGGTTGGCGTTGTCCTGCTGGGGCGGGTGAGCCCTATCCACTCCCTGGTCCGAGTGTAGACTATGAAGACTCGGAGAGCGGGAGATTTGCATCAGGTCCATATCATGCTCAGAGTCTGTGAGCTGGATGGGACGTATGGAGGGTGAAGAAGGTGCACCCTGTAGCTGCCCGTGGCCTGAAGAGTCAAGCGAAGTGGCTGTATCTGCCTTCACCCCCGCCGTCCGGCATAGGGGAATCAGAGACTTGGCAGAAGAGCCCTTCTTATGATTCTTGTGCTTGACAAGCCGATTGTCCTTGCCCACCCGGGTTTTCTTCACGGGTGTATGGGCTGAGGACTGCGAAGCCGGGATCGGGCGTTTCAGCACTGAGCGATCAGCATCGGGTGGGCTCGGCATCGGAGACCGTTCTGGCATCGACCCCGACACCGGGGTTGACATAGAGGCATGTCCCGATGTCTCCTGTGAAGACGCCATAGGTGAAAGATCTCGTTCGAGTAGCGCCACATGAAGTCTAGCCACTCGATTCTTCCTCGTTTGCCGGGATAATTTGGCACAGTGGGCGCAGGAGTCAACTCGGTGCAATTCCCCCAGGGACAGTAAACAAAGGGAGTGTCCGTCTGGGGTGTGTGTGTGATCTTACAGCTGCACTTCCAGCATCGCCGAAAGAAACCCCACCGTTTGGTCATAGGCCGGAAAAGGGGGGTAGAAAAAAAGTCTGCCTAAGCAGACAGGAGAAATAGAAATTCCTAACTAACTAAATAAACTATAAACTAAAATTAGCTAAGTACAAATTTCAGAATGGGAAAGAAAGAGGCCGAAACCAAGTCCTTTTTACCAACCGAGGCGTAGAAGGTCCTACCAGCGCGGAGGTCAGAAGAAAACTGATGGGATGGTCGTGCCCCTCCCTTAGTCATGTGCTCTGAGCCCGGCACGTGACGGGGGGGGGGAGGCGCAAAAATCCCTTTAGCTTTCTACAATACTGATCGGGGTCGGCGCAGGCGCACTATATCCCAAGGTGTGATGCACAGAGACCACAAAGAAGATCTGACGGGTTAAGTGGCTGTCAGCCATCAAAACCTAACAGCTGAGTGGCAGACTTCTCTTTCTCACATCTCCTGAATGCCAAGTCAGTGTTTTCACTGAGTTAATCCCCCGCAATCCCGCAATGTTTTCATTGAGCAATGCACCACGATTAGTCACCGCCGCTTCAAAGCTCAGTCGGTTTACACATGAAGTTCAGATCCTTTGCCCTGAAGTGAATAACCGTACGTTTACCTTGACCTACGCAGAGCTTTTCCCACCTCACCCACCTTGACGAGAGACCTCTGAAGGGCTTCACAAGTCACTCGGAGATTCTGCCACCTAGAATAATTTGGTGGCAAACGGGTCACTTTACTACTTACCTCGGCCTCCAAATAATTTATGAATGGGATTGCTGCTCTGGGTTGGGAAATTCTGGGAGATTTGGGGGGAGTAGAGCCTTTGGAGGGGAGGGTTTGGGGGTGGGGAGGGACCTCAGCAGGGCATAATGGCGTGGAACCCACCTTCCAAAGCAGCCGTTTTCCTCAAGGGTAAGTGAACGCCACAGTTTGGAGACCAGTTGTCATTCCAGGGGATCTCCAGGACCCACCAGGCACTGGTAAACCTATTTATGAATGTTAGATTGCATTGGTTCCAATTCAGATCCTTGGGCAGATTGCTTTGCCTGCTTCCATTGCCAACAGGCAGGCATTTCAACTCCTGCCCTGCCTTCTGCTTCCTGTCATCTTCTGGGCGTTGGAACAGGGGTCACTGGGGTGTGTGTGGCGGGAGAGGTATTTGTGAATTTCCTGCGCTGTGCAGGGGGTTGGACTAGATGACCCTGGAGGTCCCTTCCAACTCTATGATTCTATGAATCCAGTGCGAAGACCAAGGTGAAATCATACCCTTCTTCTTCCATCAGCAAAACTGCATTCATGGAAGAGACAAAAAGGGCAATTTTGTCCCCTTCCCTTCCCTCCATCTCCTCACTGAGGCACTGTGATCACTGTGGATATTACTTCGTATGGGTCCCATGATACCGGGTATCAGTTTTCTTGGGCTTGGAAATGACTGCTAGGGGGAAGAACCTCCCCCCGAAGAGCTGTGGCCATTAACAACTTCTGTTGACAGATCACTGGGTCCAGCCCATTAAAGCTAACCAGTAAATAATTTATTGGCTCCCCTGGATATGTTTTTTGAAAGTGGAATTACATTTGTTGACTTTCCAGACATCTAGTAAGGAAGCCAATTCTTGCACGCTTATGTTAGGAAGTACAGTAATTTCAAATTTGTCTTTAAGACCTCTTGGAGGCATCCCATCCAGCCTCAGTGACTTGTTAATCTTTGGGCCCGGTCACACGGGCTGGATATCGCGGGGGGGGGGGAGGCGTGGCAAATTGCCCCAGCGCAGTTTGATCCGTGATTATACGATTAGACGCGCCGGCGGCAAACCACGGGTCCTTCCCTCGGCGCCAGCACGTAAATGAGGGGCCGGAGGGGAAAGCTGCGTACCAGTGCGACCACACCACGGGCATCCAGAGGCAGCCTGTGGCAAACCGTTTGCCAGTACTTTGGAGGTACTACTTTTTTATCACGTGTTTTCGGCAGTAAGCCACGGGTTGGCCATGGGTGCGCGACACTTCCCAGATGTTGGGGTGTGATCACGCACGGATAATCCGCCTACCACCCGTGGCTCTTCCGCGGCAAATTCGCCGTGTGAATGGCGCCTTTAATTTGTTAATTAACCTTAAAACTTTATCTCAACACCTTTATTTGACTTGGCTCTTCAAATGCTCTCCGGGGGGGGGGGGGGCTATTCAGATGTGCATATGTACAATCTACTACAATGAAGATGGATGCAAAGAATTAATGTCAGATCCCTAGAATTGGCCTGCATTTTAATGACCCTTTCCCTGCTTTGCAAGATAATGGTCATAATGCCTCTCTCGTTGGGATTCTCACTGTGATGTAAAGATAAAGTGTGTTGTCAAGCCGCAACCAACCCACGACGACCCCTATGAGGTTGTACCTCTGGGTTTTTCAGGACAAGAGATAAGCATAGGTGGTGTGCCATTGCCTTCCCCTGATCTGATGTAGCTAGATATATTTTGGGTTTCAGAGGGTAGCTGTGTTGGTCTGCAGTAGGACAGCTATCTCCCATCCTCCCATCCCTGGACGATTTCCCGCTTACTTGTATATTGAATTGGATTGGACTGTTCTGAATCATCCAGTGACACATCTAATATTAGATCCTATGGGCATCACAAAGGGTTAAGTTTGTGTTGTTCCCCTCCACCCCCCAGCCATTCCAAGATACAATTATTTATGGAATTTAGAAATCTTGTTTCTTTTTCATAACCTCAACACATATTTACTCAATCAACATGAGGGTAGTTGAAGTTACCCATTATTACAACCCCTTTTTTCCCTTTTAGTTGCCGCCCTGATTTCAGTCTCTATCTACAGATCACACTTAGAGTCTCAGAAGACAACAGTCTCTAGTACTAAGTTGCTTTTTAGGTTAGTCATTTCCACCCACAATTCAGCAGAATTCTTCTTTTGCCCTATTAGACTCTAAGCCCTCTGATGTCATCCTTTGCAGAAGTATTCTTCCTTTGGTCTCCATATTCTGTCAGAATTCCCCACTGAATTCAGTAGAGCTGCACACAGAATAAGCAAATGGAGACGCAGATGGATGGTTGCTAGTGCTAAGGAATTCAGAATTCTGCAACCCCAACCCTCTCCCGCCAAATTCTGCAACAGCTGACAATTTTACAGCAGGCCACACTATGTGGCTAGTGCACTGTGTACAGCTTGGTGGAACAAGCAGGACTTGCACAAAAGAGGTGGCCTCCACTTGTCCCGAGAAGGAACCAGACTGCCTGCGCTCAAAATCAAAAAGGTGGCAGAGCAGTTTTTAAACTAAATCCAGGGGGGAAGTGGACAGGAGATGAAATGTCTCTGGCTCTGCATGGCTCATCTCTAAGAGATGAAGGGGTAGTTGTCACCGTTCTAGAGGGAAGTGGATTAGGACTGGCCACTGAGAGGGCTTAGAGGTTGACGCTGAGCTGCAGACCAGAAGGTATGTAGCTCAGCAGTTCGAGACCCTAGTGCCATGTGACAGGGTGAGCTCCCGTCTCTGGCCCCAGCTCCTGCCAACCTAGCAGTTCGAAAGCAAGAAATTGCAAGTAGATAAATAGGTACCACTTCGGTGGGAAGTTAACAGCATTCCGTGCACTTCAGCATTTAGTCATGCCAACCACATGACCACGGAAAAAATCTTTGGACAGTGCTGGCTCTTCGGCTTGGAAATGGGGATGAACACCACCCCCTAGAGTCAGATTTGACTAGCTCTCGAGCAAGGGAAACCTTTAGTTTACTGAGAGGGTGACAAACAATACTGACTGTCTGGCAAGGTCTAGAGGCCACAGGCGGAAGGTTGCAAGTC